ATGGAACAGTCCTTCTTCCGCTGCTACACTGTCCCCATCCCTCCCTCTTCCTCCGCTACATTGATGACTATCGGCGCAGTCTCATGCTCCCATGAGAAGCTTGAACAGTTTCTTTCACCCCAACCTTAAATTCACCTGGACCATCTCCGATACTTCCCTCTCCTTCCTGGACTCTGTCTCCATCTTTGGTGACCACCTCAAAACCGACATCTATTTCAAGCCCACCAACTCCGACAGCTACCTAGAATACACCGCCTCTCACCCACCTTCCTGCAAGAATGCGATCCCCTATTCCCAATTCCTCCGCCTCCACTGTGTCTGCTCCCAAGATGGAGTATTCCACTCCCACACACCACAGATGTCCTCTTATTTCAAGGACCATAACTTCCCACCTCCAGTGATCGAAAATGCTCTCAACTGCATCTCTTGTGTTTCCCACACCTCTGCCCTCACATCCCCTGCCCCCATCAAAAAAAAAGATAGAATCCCCCTTGTCCTCACATATCACCCTACTAACCTCTGAATCCAATGTTTCATTCTCCAACACTTCTGCCACCTGCAATCTGACCCCACAACCAAAAATATATTTCCCTCCCCACCCCTATCTGCCTTTCATAGGGACTGCTCTCTCCACGACTCCCTCGTCCACTTCACACTCCCCACTAGCCCCACCACCCTCGGCACCTTTCCCAGAAACTGCAGGAAGTGCTACACCTGCCCCTACACCTCCCCGCTCACCTCCATCCAAGGCACAAAACAAACATTCCACATTAGACAGGGATTCACCTGCACATCCGTCAACTTGGTCTACTGTATCCCCTGCTCCCAATGTGGCCGGTTCTACATCGATGAGACCAAGCAGGGGCTCGGAGACTGCTTTGTAGAGCATCCATGCTCTGTTCGCAACAAACAACAACACCTTCTGGTCACGAACCATTTCAAACCCCCTCCCACTCTCTGGGTGACATGTCCATTCTGGGCCTCCTCCAGTGTCAATGACACCACCTACAAACTGGAGGAGCAGTACCTCATATTCCACCTTGGGAGCCTACAGCCCAATGGCCTAAATGTCGATTTTACCAGTTTCAAAATCTCCCCACCCCCAGCCTCATCCCATGACCAGCCCCCCCTCTGATCCTGCCTCCTTGACCTGACACAACCTGTCCATCTTCTCTCCAACCTATCTGCCCCACCCACCTCACTGACCAATCCCCACCACTCCCTATCTGCACTCACCTATCACCATCCCACTTCCCTTCCCCAGCCTCACCCCTCCTCTCTCTATTTATTTCTGAGCTCCCTTCCTCCTCCCCATTTCTGAAGAAGGGTTCTGACCCGAAATGTCAACTTTCCTGCTCCTCTGATGCTGCTTGGCCTGCTGTGTTCCTCCAGCTCCACACTGTGTTATCTCATACTGGGAGAATGCTGCATTGTCTCAGGGTCAATACTGAGAGAGCACTGTGTTGTCCTAACAGTACTAAAGGAGGCAATGCTGTTGGAGATTCAGTACAAAAGGCACGTTTACTCTCTGGGACTGTCAGTACTGATGGAGCAATACATCATTGGAAGCTCAGTACCGAAGGAGGACTGCACTGTTGGAAAGGTAGAGCTGAGGGAGTGCTGCACTGTTGGAGGATCAGTAATGAGGGAGTGCTGCAGTGTTGGAGGATCAGTACTGAGGGAGTGCTGCAGTGTTGGAGGATCAGTAATTAGGGAGTGATGCCATATCAGAGGATCAGTACTGAGGGAGTGCTATAGTATTGGAGGGTCAGTACTGAGGCAGTGCTGTAGTATTGGAGGCTCAGTACTTAGGAAGTGCTGCAGTGTTGGAGATGTTGACTTTCTGATTAGATGTTAAACCAAGCCTGTCTATTTCCTCAGGTGGATATAAATGATCCAATGACCATTTTTCATAGGAGATCAGAGAATTAGCACCAGTGTCTACGGCAACATTAATCCTCCAATCATATCAGTGAAGCAGATAACCTGCTCATTATCACTTCTCTGTTTATAGGAGGTTGCTATGGATGCATTGGCTGCTGTACTTCCCACAATAGGAACTATACATCAGCAGTATTTCATCTGGTCTGAAGTCTTTGGGAAGCTCTACTGTTCTGAAAGGCAATATAAAAATTCAAATTGTTATTCTAATCAGAAAGAGAAACTATATCTCATTTTGTCTTGTTTTGATGCTGTTCCCAAAGGCTGATTTGCTGAGTCTACTATGTCTCACTTATTTGACAGAATCTTTGCTACTGGCAGTGTGTCAATGACATTAAATCAAACTCAGGATTGAGCTTTGGTAGTGGGAACTGTGTCACAAAGGAACCTTTCCACGTGCTACCTGCAGAGCTGGACACTGCTCCCTCACCCACTGGACAGCAAGAGCAGAGAGAGAGCAGCACTGAATTACAGCCAATTCATCAGACCTCAGTTTGTGGCTAAAATGTAGCAACTCTGCAGTAAGTGATTAAGTGGAGTAATAGTGGAGGGGAGAGTTTGCAAACTGCAGTTTGACTCCAAAATAAAGTTTTTAAACAACTGCAAAACTACAGAATTCCTCAATTGTACCATCTGTGTGAGCTATCTGATTAGTCCCATACCCTTTAAGTATTTATACAGCTCCCTTTGAAAGTTATTGCTGAATTCTGGGGAACCTCCTTCTGGAACAAGCTCAAAGCTATGAGATAGGGGTATAATGAATAAAATCTGGAAAAAAAACCTACTCTTTTAATAGTGACTACGAAACTACTGCATTGGCGTGAAAACTTATCTGGTCCACTAATGTCCTACAGGGAAGGAAATCTGCCAATCTTATTCAATCTCACCGACGTGTGACTCCAGATCCACAAAATGCTGACTCTTGACTGCCCTTAGAAATGGCCTACAAGTGAGCTAGCCGTTCAGACAGACAAATGACTCACCACCACCTTCTCCAGCGTGATTTCAAACAGACAATAAATACAGGAATGAAAGCAAAATGCTGTGGGAGGCTGGAAATCTGAAACAAATACGGAGATTGCTGGAGAAGCTCAGTAGTTCTGGCAGCATCTGCAGAGAGAGAAAGAGTCAATGTTTTGAGTCCAAAGACAATTCTTCAGATTAAATACTGGACTTGACTATGACTCTCACATCCCAACAATATCCTAGCTGCGTATTGAATTTGCATTCCAGCCTTCTTTTTTCTTTATTACTGAGCACTTTCTCAGTAAAATGCTTTGTAAAGTTGAGGTTGGGAATAGTGCTATGCAAATCAAGTATTTCTGTCTGCAGTCTGTGCTAAATACAAAAGATGTGAATACGAAAGGGTTAAACCAATTTGAAAAGGAATCTGCTATGTTTCAACTCAGTTCACAAACTATAATGATGTTTAAATAAAATCATAAAATCAGATAGCCCTGCTGTCAGCCAGGGAAGATTTTTCGCTTCACAGCATTACAATGTTTAATTTTCTTTCTTTTTGCGTCTTTGGTCAATAAGGTTGCCACGCAGCAACTGGAAACCTTAAATTGCATCATGCTAGTTGTACACACAGTCACAGGTACACTTAGATGCACACCCAGATATAGTCACAGGTGGACTCTGAAACACACATCAGATAGTCACAGGTAGACTATCACCCAGATACAGTGATGGATATACTCAGACACACATCCAAACATAGTCACAAGTTAACTTTCAGAAATACAATCAGGTACAATTATAGTTAGCCTCTCAGACATAGACTCAGATACAGTCACAGGTGAATTTGTAGACACACACACACACACACGTGGAGTCTCTGAGACACATCCCATACAGTCACAAGTACAAGTACACTCAAACACTCACACTCAGACGTAGTATTAGCTAAATTTTGGGACACGCCCAGATACAGACAGGTGGACTCTCAGACACATAGCCAGATACAGTAACAGGAACATTCATACACACCCAGAAACAGTCACAAATAGACTCTCAGACACACACCAATACAGTCAGAAATAGACTCCAACACAGACCCAGATACACTCACAGATAGACTCAAAGACACACAGAAACAGTCATAGCTAGACTTTCAGCCATAACTTGATACAGTTACAACAAGTCCAAAGATGTGTAGGCCAGGTGGATTGGCTATGCTAAATTGTCCATAGTGTTCAGGGATGTATAGACTAGTTGGGTTATGGAGGACGGATCTGGATGGGATGCTCTGAGGGTCAGTGTGGACTTGTTGGGCCGATGGGCCTGTTTCCACACTGTAGGGATTCTATGATTCTATGAAAGGACTCTTAGACAATAGACAACAGTCACAAGTAGAGACATGCAGGACGTTAATGTCCTTCAGGGAAGGAAACTGCTGTCCTTACCTGGTCTGGCCTACATGTGACTCCAGACCCACAGCAATGTGGTTGACTCTTAACTGCCCTCTGGATAATTAGGGATGGGCAATAAATGCTGCCTAGCCAGTGACACCATTATCCTGTTAATAAAAAAAATGTCTTGATACAGTCACAACTCTCAGACAATAGATCTGGATACAGTCACAAGTAGAACATCAGTCAGACATGCAGAAACCATCAGATTATGTCACCGGTAGGTTCTCAGATTGAGTCACAATCATATGCAGATTACAAAAAGCTTGCATACAAGTCCAGCAGGTAATAGGAAGAGATATGGAATATTGACCATTAATTCAAAGGGAATCGAGAATAAAAATAAGGACGTCATGCTAAAAGCATACATAGCACAGTGAGTGCCAGACATGAGTGAAACAGATGGCTTTTTTACAATAATTACTGATAGCTTCTTGATCAACTCTCCGAAGACTAGCTTGTTTCTTAAATTCTGCCATCTGCCATGAACCCACGTCCTCAGAGCATTACTATGGACCTCGAGATTACTAGACCAGTGATTTTGCCATTGTCCCTCCAGTTTAGTGTGGTATGTGCAGTGGGATACTACTGGGCCATATGCAGATCTTACCCTAACATGTCTTTTAATGTTCACACATGTTGCAGGAATCCACTTCTTCAGGACAACATTCCAAGCTGAGAGAAGAAAGTGCTTGTGGGTCCGTTTGATAATTAAGGCAGCGAAATGCCAGCAACGAAGATGCAATAAGTTGTGGCACTGAGTATGTAACTGTGATATTGTCTTATATCAGAAACTCAGTTTGAAGCTTACAGGACTTGTCCTGAGGTAAGCCTCTGGCTTGTCACTTATGAAGTAACAACAAAACATTCAGAGTCTAGGAGAGCTCTTCCAACACTGAAGCAGAAAGGTGAATACAACAGTTAAGGATCAAAAAGTTGCACTCTCTTTTTGATTTTAAGTATAAGCTAATGTGAGAATAAAACAAACAGTACAAATATCCTGATTGTATGTGAGACGTTTATTGATAATGTTGCTAATAGGCAGTGTACAAATTTCATAGCAGAGACAGGGAGGGCATGTTTACAAATGATTCTCAGCTCTCCCCTTTAAACAAAATGAAACATATTGCAGGTGAAAATTCAATAACTATTAATTAAGATAATCACTGGTGTATAGCAAAGCGGAAGTGATTGATTGTGAAGTGTTTTAAACATATTTTATATTCATTCTAAATAAGTTTATGCAGTCCAACCTGTCTAGATGTCCTCTGCTCTTTCAATTCCAGCTCCTCGCATCTTATTTTTAAATGGATGTGCCCTTAGCCCTACTCTTGGCTGAAACGGCAAATAACTTAGGCTGCAGCTCAAATAAAAGCAAAGTACGACAGAAGCTGGAAATCTGAAACAAACACCGAGAATGCTGAAGAAGCTCAGCCAATCTAGCAGCATCAGTGGAGAGAAATACAGAGTTAACAATATGAAAAAGGAGAAGACTGAATGACTGAAGCACAGTCACACTAGATTCGAAATGTTAACTTTGTTCTTCTCTCCATAGATACTGCCAGACCTGCTGAGTTTCACCAGCATTCTCTGTATCAAGAGAATGTTTTTAGACTGAAGCTTTCTTCTCTGCTGGTTTTGTATCAAGGTTGATCTGCATCAAGTTAAATTGGGTTTAACTGAACTCAGTTAAGTTGGACACACAAATAAAAGCAAATTACTACGGATACTGGATATTTGAAATAAGACAGAAAGTGCTGCAGAAGATCAGCATCTGAAGCAGAGTTAACATTTCGAATCCAGTATGATTCTTCTTCAGAACTTTCTTATTGGACTCCACAGATGCTGCCAGACCTGCTGAGTTTCTCCAGCACTTTGTTCTTATCTTAGTGGAGTTAGGTTGAGTTGAACTGGATTGAAATGTGTTGGGTTGAGTTGATTCATCTGGCTCTAATCTGGGTTGAGTTTGGCTGGACTTTGTTCAGCTGGGTCATTTCTGCTCAGAGTTGGCTGAATTACTTTGATTTGGGAAGGGTTTGTTTGGGTTGAGATGGTTGGCCTGGTTAGAATTAGGTTGGTTGGGTAATTTTATATTGTACTAGGTTGGCTTGGTTGGAGTTGGATTGAGTTGGTTTGAGTTGACGTAGTTAGAGTTGAGTTGGGATAGATTGGTTTGAGTTGATCTGCGTGGTTTGACTTGTGTTTAGTTAGATTGGGTTAGTTTGAGCTTGGTTGGGTTGACCTGATTTCAGTTGTTTTGGGTTGGATTGGGTGAGATTGAGCTGAGTTGGCTTGAGTAGAGTTAGGTTGGATTGGCTCAGTTTGGGTCATATGGAGCAGTTTCATGTGAATTAGAATGGATTGTTTTGACTTGAGTTAGGCTGAATCAGCCTCATTTGGGTTGGGTTAGTATATATTTCGTATCAAGTTAATGTGTCATGGGTTGGATAAAATTTCCATTATTTATTATGCACAACACAAAATAAATTATAGCACATTGTAAATCTTTCTGTTTGGTAAAATTTCAGATGTTAAAACATGGCAGAATATTTGAGCTAAATCACAGGACGTTCTCATTGATACAATCACAGTAGGATTAAAACTCTCTCAATTAAAAGCTCTGTGACATTCATGCTCAAACTTTAAATGATATAACATTTCACCAGGAGTAACCAGTGGCTATTTGCTCATGTGAAACAAGAATGCGAATGACTCGTGTCTTATCTCTATTCATTGTACCAGAACACAAGGAAATGAACAGAATTCTCTCAAATGACCGAATCATGAAAGAGTTTGAATAATGACAATTTCTAGACATTTTGGACTGCACAGTGTTCAAGCCTTGCAACAGAAAAACCCAAGTCCAACCTGGTGCCATGCCCCATGAATCCCTTTAATAACTGAGGCCACAACATAGTACTCAAAGTTTGAACTACACTGGGATGCAGTTCCTGAAGGTGCTGATTCTCTTTGGGATACAGTCCCTGAAGGTGCTGACTCTCACTGGGATGTAGTTTCTAAAGGGGCTGACTCTCAGTGGCATACAGTTCCTGAAGGTGCTGAATCTCTTTGGGATACACTTCCTGAAGGTGCTGATTCTCAGTGGCATACAGTTCCTGAAGGTGCTGACTCTCATTGGGATGTAGTTTCTAAAGAGGCTCACTCTCACTACAGGACAGCTCCTGAAGGTTCATACTCTCACTGCAATACTGGTTCCACAGAGATTGAGTTTCACTGGTAACAATGTTGTCCTTAACTAACAACTGCCCTTAATCCATTAGAGATTACTGGTCCGTGACTGGGGACATGTCATGCTTGTTCTTTGCTCTTTTGTAGCCCAAGTACACAGAGATAAAATATAATATCCTGCCCTATTCTATATGAAATCACCAGATTGGGCAGTAGTTGAGGTCAAGGACTGATTCTCTTTCAGGGCGAAAGGGTAAATAATGCTGAATACACCAGTAACAATATCAAAAACTTGCCAGTGTAAGAATGAGTTACAAACAGCATGTATAATTTTTTTTTAAAGAAGTCACATCTTAATTTATTTTAAGGCATATGCTCAGTAATTTGTTTGTAGAGCAATTACTTGTCTGGCACCAGCTCAGAGCTTGGGTTTTTTTTTGTGCACCTGTCATTTATGCTAATCACAGATTAAATGCTGTTTTGCTGTTTAAACAGAGGAACCTGAATTGCCAAAGGACTTGTTTTTAAGCTAATAGTAAGAAAATATACAAATTACCTGCAGTTATAGTCAGTCCTGTAATTGTACTGTGCCCTGTAATGCAATTTGCTGCTGTATTAGTGTAGGATCAGCAAGGACAGCAGTAATAGACAATTTAAGACCGTTTGATATTTTCCAGATAGTAACTGATCAGGAACTGACTCCATAAAGATGCTGTGTTCACAATTTTGTCTTGGTCAGGTTCAGGCTTTAACAGCTGAATATAAAAATATATTTGCATAATAATAATGCTTGTTTATAAAGTGTTTTAAAGTTAATAGTTGGTTAAAGTGGTGTATCTCTCAGTTTCCTAGGAATTCTCAGTTACAGAGTCCCAGATATTTCTACTTTGGCTGGAATTATTGTCTGTGTTTGCATAGTTTCTGAAAACACAAAGTTATAAACTGGTTCCAATGTATCATAAGCATTGGGGGCACTGCCCCTGAAAACCCACCAGGTGGCGACATGAAGCCATCCTGACAAGGACAGGTTCAGTTCAGCTTGAAGGAATAACAAAGATTACATAAAGCCTCTGATATAGATTCTACAAAACAACCAGCATTATATAAATGATTGTAGCAGCAAGCAGCTCTCAGTTCATTGCATAGAATTCAAATATCTCAAAATTAATTACACAGAGCACTGAAAGAGATAGAAAACAGCAACAAGTAATCTCTGGAAGAGTTAAGTTTAAACACAAGATTAAAAACAAGCCAGAGAATCATGAAGGTGAATTCAGTCATGATGTGGACACTGCGATCTGTTGCAGATGCACTGACAGTTAGGGTCAATGCCCTACCTCCTCCATCAGATACACAGATTGTACAGCCCTTTACCATAAAACTGTCTCCACCAGGACTGTATCCCACTGTTGTACGATGACAGACCCTTTACCTGTGTCATACAGTCAGGGGTCAGTTGGCTGGACGGGAGGTTTGTGATGCAGATTGACGCCAATAGTGTGGGTTCAATTCCCTCAACTGGCTGAAGCCACCATGAAGGGCCTTCCTTCTCAAACACTCCTCCGTCCCCACGCCTGAGTTGTGATGACCCTCTGGTTAAAGAACCACCAGTCATCTCTCTCCAATGAGTTAGCATCCCTGCAGTTTCCTCTGGCACTATGGCAATTTTAACTTGCGTTAAACAGTGACAGACCTGCCCTCACTAGTATTGTACCCCGTGTTACGCAGTGACAGACCTGCCCTCACTAGTATTGTACCCC